GAATTAAATAAATTGATTTTTTTAACCACAATCAAAAAAGTAATCACACAATGTTTTACTGTGAGAAAATATTTCCGTTCATTAAAATTATTATTAACCCTAACCCCCTTTTATTGAGTGAATCATATTTTTTTTATTTTGTTCTGTTTAATGTTGATATTTCATTTGATTCATGTTTTAGGTTGAAATGTATAATTATTCTGATTGTTGACACAATGTGTACGTTGTGTTCACAGATGCAGGAGCTGAAACCTTTAATCTGATTTTTCACCTCATCAATATCATTTATTGATTATCAGTATGTTATTACTCCATCACTCCACTGATTCAATTAATTTGATTAAATATTAACCTATTTATATTTAACCCATTATTAAACTGCATCTCACTTCAGATAAATCTTCAATCATATTTAAGGCTGAAAAGAACAAACCTTAAAGGTATTTTTATTATATTATTATATTTTATGTTTTGTTTGCTACTTTGAAAGATCAGTTAGTTTTTACTTTCAACACTAAAGTGTGTGTGAGTAGCAGCCAATCGCTGTACAGGAAAGAGAATCCACCTGCGATGGGGGCGTGTCCTTCAAATGTTGTTATAACCATGAGAAAGTCTGAAGATGCCTCCTGTGGACATCACAGGTACTTCGCTCCATTCATGGAGTCACTTCAGCTCATTTACCTTACACTCATACATTTGTCACATGAACCTCGGAGGAGCAAGGCTCTGACTCTGTCGGGGTAGGGGTCAAATCCCACCTTGGGAATATGGTCAATTACTGATGGCAGAAATGATGAGTTTAAATTCTTACGTTTATGAAAATGTTTCGTTCAGGTTTTTATTGCGAGTCACCCTAACTTCTTCATCTTGCTCGTTTTTTGTCAATGACTCAAAAAAAGTAAAATTCGTGGATGAGTGAAACTTGACATCTGAATCTGAACAACATTAAGAAAAGCTTAAAAAGTCCCAGTAAACAGAAGTGTAAGACCAAAGATTTAAAACAGGGAAACTTACCCACCTCAGTTGTTTCTCTCGCTTCTTTTTTTTTCCGGATCCAAGCTGGCCCAAGACTCCATCGCTTCACTTGTCTGACTAAAGCCTCCGAAATCCTCCCCCTGAAAAAAAACTTCAAACAACTTCAGTGAATGGAAGCAGAAGCTGGTTTTGTCCATCAGCAGCATCCAAGCTTCAAAACGTCTTTGCAAGAAGTCAGAGAACCCCAACACCCCATCCATCTTCGAGCCCCCCCCCCCTTCTCCTCTTCTGTTCACAGTCATTAAAAATGAGATTTTGAACAAAGGCCAGTTAAAAGAGAGAATCTCTTTGTACTTCACTTCTCGCTCCATTAATATTTATGGAACTTTTAAAGTCATGGAGAAGAAGAGACTGGGGACCATGAACCATGTGGAGAAATTTGAGTTCATTATTACAGCATGTGAGTCTCAAACACGTGTGTGTGTGTGTGTAGCTCCAGGGTTAGGGGGGGGTCTTTGTGCTGAGCTCCTCCCACAGCAGAGAGCAGCTGACTGGAAGCTGACCAGGCTCAGAAGGTCCCAGACTCTCTGAAATTAAAGTCGTCATTTCAACGATTCTTCTCTGATGTGATCTTTATTCTTCTGCTGCTGTCTGACCTCTGACCCCTGAAAATGAGAATGAGGAACATTGAATCTTCAATGCTTCCTAACTTATCTCCTTTAGCAGAAGATACATCAGACCATCCTTTATGAAAGGAAAATAGACAATGCTGTCCCACAATTCTTTGAGGCAGCAACATTTAAATTGACACAACCTTGTAATTGCACCTGGACACATCAACTGAAATATAAAAAACAGAACAGCTGTTTTATTCTCATGATCCAGATGTGAATCATCACATGATTGTTTGATTTCTTCTGTCATCATCAGAACTTAATATTTTCTCCTTGTTTATTCCTCATGTTATTGATTATTCCGACAACCCTCACCCTGAGGATTTTTTTATTTCAGTGACAGGATGAGAAATATCCAGCAGATAAAACTGAATTGTCTTCATTGTCCTTCAGCATCAGAGCTGACATTGTAGCATCTCTGTTTTTTCTCCGTCCGTCCCCCTGAGCCCTGACACCGTCCTCCGTCTCTCATGTCCTTAATAGTATCTCTTTATATGTGACAAAGGGTGAAAAGGCAGCGAAGAAAGTGGATGAGCGGATCCATTTCCAATTCTGCAGTGTTGACTTTGAAGTGATCTTTAGTCCATGAAAAGGAGCAGAGTGAAAATGAAGGAGGAGGATTTGTATCAAACGTGTGTCGAGGGAAAATGAGAGTGTGAGAGAAAGAGGAGGAAGAGTAAGTGGGAAGGTTTACTCATAAATTTAGTATACACACAAAGATTTGAATTACAGTAAGGAACTGAAAGTACATCACTTTAAAATGTTTTAAAGCACACAGTTTTCACTTCACCAAGTCCACATTTCAATATTAATGAATCAAACTGACACTTTACATTGATCAATAATCAATAAACCATCAAGATAAACTGAAAACATGTTTTAAAAAACTGCAAATCTCACATTAAAAAATAATAACACTGTGAACTGATGTTTTCACAACATCCCATCTTCACTAACATACACACTCATGTCCTTACTTTTATTAATAACATTCAATATAGAAAATACATTATTGTGTAAACTGGTACTCACAAACACAGAAAAACATGAAGTTGCTAACGAGATGTTTTTCTTTCTGTCGTACATGTTTTCTGGATATGACATCATAACCCAGTTTCTGACACACACGCATATGCGTACATGCACACGCACTGATTGTGCTGAGGCTGCAGACATCAATTACACTTCACATCAAAAATCTGCTTCTTGTGTGCTTCCTTCAGATTTGTGCATATGGCAGCATGTGTGTGTGTGTGTGTGTGTGTGTGTGTGTGTGGGGGGGGGAGAATCCTGGTGATGAAGACTCTAATGAACTCTCTGCTGCATCACGATGAAGCTTCTGACCTGAGGTGGAGAAGGAATGACTCAGCAAGTAAGTGTGTGTGTGTGTGTGTGTGTGTGTGTGTGTGTGTGTGTGTGTGTGTGTGTGTGTGTGTGTGTGTGTGTGTGTGTGTGTGTGTGTGTGTGTGTGTGTGATCTCTCTTCAGTCTGATTATCAGAACAGACTCAACCATCTATCAACCTGAGATGTTCATGTGCTGCTCTGAATGAGTCTGAGGCTCAGCCCACACTGACATGTTTCGGTTTGTAAACTCATCTCTGTTGCTATGGTTACACCTGGTGGAGTTTTCAAGCCTCTGAATCAGAGACTTGTGTAAACTGGTCTCATTATAGTTTGAAAACTCAGGGGTTGTGTTTTAGTCTGAACAGAAACTGAGACTTTAGTAAATGATGTAAACCTTGTTACTGCAGTTTTTTGTCCGGCAACAACGACAAACTGACAGTTTCTGTCTTCCACATCAAGCTCAAGGCGATGGAGACACACACACACGCCTGCTGCTGCAGAGACAAAGGTTTGCGATCTGATTAGAATTATAAGAGTAACAAACACACACACAGCTTCATGCCACAATACACACACAATTTAAATGTGCAATATGATTTGAATTATGATGTGTCTCCTATTCTGTTGAACACAAAGTAATGGATTTGCATTAGAAAAATAGAACACACACACATACACAAACACACACAAACACACACAGAAGATAAGAATCATGATAAAAACATCTCTAACTCAGATACAAAAGATTAAATTATGACTTGAATTTTATTGTGTGACTCTCAGAGGACAGATGTGTTTAATACTTTCATAGTTGTGATATTAAAATGTGTTTATGTGAAGCAGAGAAGAAAAGATGAAGAGAAGCAGAGGAGGAGGTAGACATGGAGATAGAGGCAGAAAGAGGAGGATTCAAGAATAATAAAGTGATTCAACTCTTTCCTGGGAATCAGTGATGAGCTGTAGGATGACATGCTGTGATGCTCTGACGCGCCCCTGAGCAAGGCAGCTCATCATTCTGCCTCCAGCACCTCAAAGACAGGAGGGCTGTTTTGGTTGGTGTAGAGCGAGGTGGGAGGGGCAGACTGACACTTAAGGGTGTGTGGTCACACCTGAGTGACAGTGCATGATGGGAGTTCCCCCAGCAGTTTAGGCCGAAAGCAGCATAACTAAGGGATGGTTCAAGACTCACCTGAGAATTCGGACTCAACCATGTCACAGTGTTTCCTGTTTCCTGGTACTGTCACTGATCACCTCAGAGCTTGTAATGATGATGATGATGATGACATTTTTTTGATGATTTGCTACATTTTCTGGTTGTCTTTAAATTCTACTTACTTTCCTTTAGTTTGAAAAGGATAACGTCTGATATGCTTAATAAACATCATCCCACCTTCTGATTGGCTGCAGGAACACAGACTGAGGCATGATTGGTCAGACGTGGTGACCTAAGGATCATGGATGTGATTAGAAACAGGAAGTTTATTTTAAATGAATATGTTTCTATCAGATTCAGTAAGTGTGATATTTTAATATTATTGTGTCTGAGAAGAGAAACAGGATTCATTTGATTTCTGCATAATTTTATTTACTCATGTTATAAACTGCAGTTTTAAATGATTCATTCAGATGATTTCAATAAACATATTTTTATTCTTATAACCAATCTTATATATGAAAATATATATATTTATAAATAAATAACATATCCTTATCTTTATCATTTTCTTCATTAATTCTTTTTAAGACTGACTTTAACTTAAGAGGGGCGGGGTCAGTCGGGTGACGCGCCCTCTGATTGGCTGCGGGGGAGCTATGTTAAAGGAGGAGGGTGTGGTCTGTAGCGGAGTCGTCTCATTGTGTCGCTGGAAGCAGAAGAAGAAACATCGAGTCCGACTTGATCTGTCCCGGTGTCCCGGTCCCGGTGTGTGTCCCGGTCCCGGTGTGTGTCCTGGTCCCGGTCTGTGTCCCGGTCCCGGTCTGTGTCCTGGTCCCGGTCCGTGTCTCGGTCCCGGTCTGTGTCCTGGTCCCGGTCCGTGTCCCGGTCCCGGTCCGTGTCCCTTTCCCGGTGTGTGTCCCGGTCCCGGCCTGAGACCGTCTCCCTCGGTAGATTCACACCTGAACCCACACGCGCGTGATGGAGGATTTTTTTTCTCAGGTTTGGTTCGTTGGTTCTGTGGAAATAACCGGAGCTGTTGTGGATTAACGGGTCCGAGCCGGAGACAGAGACCGGGCCCCGGGCAGAGTCCGGAGCTGCAGCCGGAGACAGAGACCGGAGCCCGGGCAGAGTGTGTCCGTCTCCGAGACATGAAGACACGCAAAGGTGAGTTTGTCCTGCAGGAAACCCCGTGTGTGTTATGCGCGTGCCTTTTTTTGAACGTGCACGCGTCTTGCAGCTGTAATTGATGGCTGTCAATCAATCAATCAACCGGCTGGAGTGTCCTGTCCGCGTGCAGGCGCTCAATGTCGTCTGAGCTCTGTGGGAGTGTCCAGTCCTCTGAGCACTGATCCAGCCTGAGCCCCGGGTCTGATCCGGATCAGACTGAGTCTGATCATAACTGAGTCTCTGATCCGGATCATAACTGAGTCTCTGATCCGGATCATAACTGAGTCTCTGATCCAGAACAAAACTGAGTCTCTGATCCGGATCATAACTGAGTCTCTGATCCGGATCATAACTGAGTCTCTGATCCAGAACAAAACTGAGTCTCTGATCCGGATCATAACTGAGTCTCTGATCCGGATCATAACTGAGTCTCTGATCCGTGTGTGTAAGGAAACAAAGGAATATAATTTAAATGTACAATATATTTAAATTTTATATAACTGCTGCCACATTCTCTCAAACAAATCAAAAAGTCCTGACCCTGATCAGAGGAGCTGCTGCTGTGTTGTTACTGTGTGAAACTCTGGAGACAATTCTCTGGATTTGACCCACAGGTCATGTCTGTCCCTCTCCTCTCTGTTCCCACCCGTCCCTGTGGCTGCAGGGTGCTTATGTTGAAACAAACACACCTGTAGGTATTCTGAAACTGATGCAATGTGATGAAAACTCAGGAGCTGATATGAGTCAACTCATATAAACAGTCTGGATGTGGGAGTTGTAGTTTTATTAATGCAGAGGATCAACCAGCTGTTGATTTTTAACTCTGGAGGTGTGAACCAATAATGACATTGTGTTTGGCTCACACGTCCATAAGGAAACACTTGGTTCAAACATTATGTCGTCTGAGGTGAAGACTGCAGCGGTTTAATGTGTCTCCACTTCCTGTGATTGGTCCAAATTTCCAAACTATCCAACAAAGTGCTTTCATGGCTGAGCGCTGACAGATCGCCCACGTCCCCTCCAGCTGTTGAAGAGACACTGGCGGCAGATAAAGATGTTGAGATTTCACAGTGGTGCTGAAAACAGTTTGTGGATGGGGGGTGTGTGGCTGACCTGACGGCTGTAGCACATTCACACTCAAGCTGTGAGTGTGTGTTTGTGTGAGTATGCATGTGTCACACACAGCATTACTGTGTTTAATCCTTAGTGTGAATGAGCAGCAGCAGATTTAAGTGTTTTTACTGCAGAAAAAAGAAACTGGATTCATTCATATAAATGTGTTTTCATCACATGACCTTGTACTGAGCTGTATCAACCCGCTGCCCCTCCCCCACTGACCTGCCTCACTTAACAACTCCAACATTAATGACACATTATTAGGACACGTACGGGTCTTGACGTTTACTCTGTGTTATTTGATTTGCTCTAGAGTTTAGGGTTAGTGTTTTTTCTCCGCTGCTGCTAACAGGTTAGCTCACAGTAAGTGGTGACTCCTTCAGATGTAATAAAACAGAAAAAACATAACATGCCTGCATACTGCTCCTGTGATGTCATCAAGTGTCCACAAACCCCGACATTCAAATTCAAGTAGGAATGACGTCATTTACAACATGTTTTTAATTTAAATGTCTCTGAAATCTTCCTATGAGGTGCATTCACGGACGGTCCGGTGTGCTAACATCTGCCAGCTTCGCCACTTCCGGTGGACATTTAGGCATTAAACTTGGTGTAAATGACGTTTCAAATTTAATTGGAATGCCGTGGCTTGTGGACACTCGTCTGAAGAAGGAGTCACCAGTTACTTCAGGTGTATTCGATTCTGGCCCCCCCCCCGATGAATGCATTTGTTCTCCGTCTGCTGGTCATCATGTTTCAGTGACACGTGAACAACAGTGAAAAGATCAAGACACGTTTTTATTTATTACAGTTGCTCTTCTGTTCTTTTGTTATATTTCATTGTTTGTGAACAGACAGAATCACACACTTTAAAAAAAAAACAGAATTATTTTTTTTTCGTAGTGTAAATTGTGCAGTCTTAACTGACCTGAGCAGTGCCCCCTGCAGGACTGGTTACAGACATCCACATAAAGCATGTGGGCAGTGACCTAAAACCCACTTCCTATTTCCTGTTCGGGGGCACAAGTTTGTTCTCTTTGGGAAACTGAAGAAACAATTTCCCCTCCGAGAGCGAGTGGCAGAGGTGAGAGAGTAAGAGGGCGAATAAGATCAAGGCTCAGCGGGAAGCTCCAACCAATCAGAAAGTCCACAGGAAGCTCTGAGCATGCGTGTGCGTGCGTGTGTGAGGTTGTGGTCATTTAAAGACCAAAGTCAGATTGAGAGTCAGTGTCTGTCATGATTTTACACTTTGTGTTGCTTGTGCTCTAAAGTGCACGTCCACTGCTCAATCAAGTGTTTGTCACAGTAGGATGATTTTGTGTCTTTGAGTTTAAAACAGTTTAGAGTTCTGTTTCTGTTGCCTTCATCATGTTCCAACAATAAACTTCACTCTGCTGAGTTTCAATTTTTCCATCGTCCAAGTTAATTTTTAACTTGCACGCTTTGAGTAGCGACTGGATCCTGAGTGACGGCATTGTTAGATTCTCTCCAATTTTCTGCTCCTCAGCATGTTTCTACTTCACAGCTGCTCAGCGAACACGCAGCAGGAACATGCGGAGCCACACGTCTCTTCATGTCACACGGAATCTTCTGAGGAAAATTATTTCTGAGCTGCTGTCACAGGACACAGAGGAAGTTACTTTCTCTGAAACTTTTTATATTTATTTCTGAGAATCTTGTTGAATTACTAATTTATTCAGTTTGTTCTGGAAAATGAAATTAAGAAGAAAACAATAAATGAAAATCTTTTTACACCTGACAATATACAAAGTTTGATTACTGCTCTGTTCAACAATCTTCTTTTGTTCTGCTCTTGTCTGTGTTGATGGTGTTTTCACTTTAAATGTTTCACACAAGTGACAGCGGAGAAGCTGCAGAGTGACAGTGGCACAAATTAAGATGTGAGAATATTTCTGTCAAACACAGAGTTCAGGTCATGAAACTGATACGTCGCAACATCTCATTGGTTTGTTTTCATCATCCTCAATTTTTTAAATTAATCTTTTGAAGATGGTATCAGTTAACTCATCTCCTCATCCCTTTGTCCTCTCGTCTCTTCTCAGGTCATTGGATTTAGAGCAGTAGATGATCTAATGTCAGATGTTGCTCAGTGAAACATCAGATTTATTTCTGAACCTTCTCTGTCCACATTATCTTTTAGTCTTTTTATCTGTTCTTTCTGAGTTTCCTCCTCATCTGAAGCTCAAACACATAAAAACATCTGAAAACGAAGGAACACAACTGGTTATTTGGTTTACATAAGAAAAGCAACGTAGTCACAACAACATGGGATAAATCGTCACAGTCAAAAGCTGTGATGTCATCATGTGACGCTGGTTTGAATCCCCAGACCAGTAATGCAGTCAGGAGACAAAATTGCCTCGTTTCTGAGACTTTAAAAGGCTGAAGAAGTTAATCTCTCTCTGTCTCTCTCTCTCTCTGTGTGTGTGTGTGTGTGGCTCCTTGAGCAGTTGGCAGGGGGAGGGGCAGAGGGTTAACGTCTGTGTTTGGATTAAATCTGATAAAATTTGACTGTGTGTGTGTAGCTGATCAACCAGGTCACAGTGGAGAAAACATTGACTGAGACGTGTTGCTGTAATGTTTCCTGTCACCGTTGAGTCGTATGAAATATGTACGAGGCTGCGTTCGCTGTCATATCTGTTGAAAAAACATTTTATGTCTCGGAGCTGTTTGAACTAAACAAAGATGATTTTCTCTCAACAAGAAATTAAAAATCTAGATCTGGACATGATGAAAAACAGTGTTTCATGTGGAATCTGAGTCCAGTGTTTGATCTGTTTTATCTCTGTGATTGGTCTCCTGTCCTGCCCTCACCCACAGGCTGAAAACACATGTCACATGACTGTTCACCTACACCGGTCATGTGGTGTAAACAGGAACTAGAGCGGCTACTCCGCAGTAGGTAGCTTAGCAACAGAAAATACTACGAACAAGGAACAGTGCCAGTTTTTGTTTTTCGAAAGTTAAAATCTTCGTCTTGAGTCTTTGTTTCCTGATCTGCTCAAAAACAGAGTGTTGCTCACAGACAAGTTGTCATCGGTCACTCGGTCTTCGAGTAGACTGACTTTCAGCAGTTGATAATCTTACATAATCCATCGTAAACTTGAAATATGGAAAAGGTTTCTACATTACATGGCGTATGCAAGCTCTGGCAGCATTTAATGTTTGGAGTGTGGTGATGTTGGTGGGAAACCCTCAATCTGCCTGTATAGAGAGCATGCAGCAGGCCCTTCAGGTAAACTGCAACCTGAACACCGACAGCGGTACCCAGCAAACCATGCAGCAGGCGGTGAAACATACCGTAACCGGTGATCCTGGTACAACAAGAGAAAGCAAACAAGCAGGACAGTCAGAATGTTAATGATGATGTGGACGAGGTGCAGGCTGGATGTAGAAACAGTGGAAAGACAGAAACGGTGAGAAATGGTCAAGCAGCTGCAACAAGTGAATCACAGCGAAAAAACTGACCAAGAAGACGAAGAAATGTTGAAAGATGATAGTTTTTCACAGTTCAGTGGAGGATCCTCTGCTGTGTCATCACTTCTCCTGAATTTCTACTTTATACAGGAGTGAAGGAGGAGACAGACAAATCATCATCCAGAGAACTGAGGAGTTCATGTCTGAAAGCTGTGTGCGTGTGTGCGTTGCCCATTAGCCTTCCACTCGAAGCCTCCTCCTGTCCTCTCATTTGTCTAATGGATGAAGACTTAGGTCTCCTTTAAAATGCAGCGTGCACATTCGCAGCACGTGCAGGTCAATCCATTAATTAGCTTAAGTGGACCCTTAGGCTTCCTCCTCTCAACACCCCCCCCCTTCTCTTTCTGGCAAACAACGGCTCCAACATTTGTCGCAGCTTCTTGATTTTCATTTGGTTGCAAACTCTCGTTAAAAGTGGTGTGATTTATTCGTTCTTGTGATTTTGCTCAGAGAAACTTGTGAGACGTTCGTCCTGTTGGAAAGGTTTCTGGGCCCGCCTCCAGCTTCTCCTCTCTCACTCCCAGTATTTGTCCCTGTGGCTCAGTGGGATGCAGCAGAGTTCCAGTTTGAGCTGCTGGAGTCTCAAACGCCTCTCTCTTCTCACTGTGTGATCATGACTTTGATCTCAGATATTTAATCTCAAATATTTGACCTCCTTTATTTCGTCTTCAGGAGACGTCAGACAGGAAGTGGTATGTATACCACTGTATACAGAGCAAGGTTTAACAGAAGCAGAGACACCTGGTTCTGGTTGTGTTGGATGATTTTCAGTTTATCAATGATGAATCACCTGACGGCGCTCAGAGTCGAGCTCCGTCAGGTGAGATGGTTCTGATCAGGATCTTTCAGAGACGTCCAGCTGTCCGAGACTATAGTCCCTCATAACGCCACCTAGTGTTTCCAACTGTGGGTTACTATGTTGAACCTCTCAGGATCAATGTTTACTAGAATCAAGAGTTTAACTCTAACCCCCTAACCACATTTTTATATATATATATATATATATATAAGGTGATTGGCGCTCCACCACCAGTGACCGCTCTTTGTGTGAATCTGGAAAACTGCTCATTTTTTCCCCACATTGTCCATCATTCATCTCTCTCTCATATACACACACACACACACACACACACACACACACACACACACACACACAGGATGCTGTGGGTGAGTGTTTCAGTGTTGTAACTGTCAGGCTGCAGAAACACCAGCTGAATACAGTTAAACTTTGTGTGTGTCTGTGTGCTCACCTAATTTCTTATAAATTGCAGGGGGTTTGTTCTGTTCAGCTGTTTGGAGTCAAACTGTTTTCTTGACACTTTGTCCTGTGAGTTTGATTCTGATCTGTCGTGAACCCATCACCTCTATCCTTGTTTTAAAGAAGATTGCTAAACCTTTCTAAATATGTAATATTATATATATTTTTAAAAACTTTTTAAAATGTTCAATGGCCACTAGTGTCTCCATCACCAGCTTGAATGTAATCTGTCATTTAATATTGTATGATATAAAATATTATACAAACACTACAGACTGTTACTATGTGTGTGTGAGACCTGATTAAACCACCTCAGAGCATCAGAGTAAAATCAAACAAGCATATGAAACTTTTCTAAGTCTTTGTCCTTTCTGCTTAGCCTCACCTCTGAGTTTTAACAGCTAATCTTCCAGATGATGAAGCTGTAGCTCTGCAGAGATGGAGAAATTCCCAGGTGAACATTGTCTAAGTTCAGAACAGTGAGCAGGCAGCTTCACTGCCCCGCCACCTCAGATTCTTCTGGGACGACAGTCTTTGTTTCCTGGTTAAACAGGGAGAAACCAAAGTGTCTCTACTGCTCAGGGGATTTTATTTTATATTCAGAAGCTTCCTGCGTCTCCTCCAGAGGAAAGATGACATTTTTCATCAGAGATAAATTCAGGAGTCGAACATGTGAACAAAGACAACAGTTGTCTTTCACAGATATCTCTCTCTCTCTCAAATTCGAAGGAGCTTTATTTAATGGGAAAGACATGTTTACGTTGCCAAAGTGTTTTGCAGTTAAAAACACAAGTGAGAGTTATATAAACATCTTTAAAGGAATGTAATGTATTTAAAAATATTTGTTCTGTGTGTATTTACAGCGAGTGTGTCTATGTACACATCAACACAGTGCAAATGGTCAGTGCAGAGATACACAGGTGATTGACAGTCTTCATGGACGCCCCTTTGTTGGTCATCACAAAGTTTGTTATCAGCCATGTTTCCAAAGTCCTTTTGGTGGGCTGTAGTCTGTGGGTACTGTCTCTGATATCTTGGAACAGTTGGCAGGTGGTTCAGACGAGCAGCTGGGTTTCCACCTCCTGCTGTGTGTAGTGGGTGCACCGTCTTTCCTCTCTGGGGAGCCAGGTCTGCCTGTGGCGGCCTCTCCACGGCCAGGCTGTGCTCACTGAGTCTGGTCAAGGATTTCCTTAGTTTTGGATCCTCACAGTGGTCAGGTAATTAGGGTTAGGTAAGTATTCTCTGTTCAGGGCCAAATAGCAGTCCAGTTTTCACTGCTTTTTGGTTGATTCTTTCCAGTGTGTCAAATAGTTTTTTTGTTTTCTTATAATTTGGTTAATTCTTATTGTGTTTCTGTCTGGGAGCTGTGTTTGTGAACAGATTCCCATGACCAGCTGGCTGAGGGGGCTTCTCTCTCAGGTCTCTCTATAGGTGAGGGCTTTGTGATGGAGTGTGTCACTTTCTTTGAGGTGATGATCACATTTAGATGCTGGCTTTTGTTTTTAATAATGAGTGGGTATCATCCCAATTCTGCTCTGCATGGATGTGGAGAATAGTCTCAATTTGATGTTTATCCCATTTTGTAAAAATCCAGTAGGAGTCTGTGGTTTATAATCATACAAAGGATTTTCCCAAGGTTGCTGTTGACAGATTCTCTCCCAGTTACCTCCACATATAACCAATTTAAGGTAATTTCATTTTTTGTCTGGGGGGGCATATTAGAGAGGGGAAGTTTCTACCTCCTGGTAGGTGTTTGTCTCCCTGTGTGCTGAGTGTGTGAGGTTCTCATCCTGTCCTTGCATCGAGGTCCCCACAGACTATGACCCTCTGTCTGTCTTCATGAGTCTTATACGACCCGACGATGCTCTAATCTCTCTCTCTCTCTCTCTCTCTGTGTGTGTGTGTGTCCTGCTGTGCCGTCGGATCTCTGTAAATCTGATTTCCTCGAGGTTTAGACTAAATGTCGCCGTTTTATCTCCGTCTCATCCCTTCGTTCTTTATCCTTCACCTTCATCCTCGCATCTTTTCCTCCTTTGTTTGTCTCTTCCTTATTTATTTTTATCTATTCCTTCCAGACACTTTACCTTCTGTCTTTTGGTTGCCATGGCGACCATAGTAGGGGGGGGTTCTGTTCAGTTGACGTGTTGCTCTGCAGTGGAGGGGGTGGGGGGGCTTACCGGCTGCTGGAGTTTCTATAGTACTTTGGGTTTTGTTTTTTGTGTAGTTCTGTTGTTGTGAAGTTGTTATTTGGTCTTTGTGTAAATGTATGGAAACATTTAGAACCTCTAATTGACTTAATCTTGCTCATGTTGGTTCAGACTTTCCTCAATGCCCCCACTGACCAGCCTCACTTTACACGTTAACAATACACACCATCAGTGGAAACCTCTGACATCACTACTCAATTAAAACACATGGACCTATTTGCAGGAACCTGACTGAGTGCATTTGTTGTTTTGGTGACAGGACGAGTCGGAGCATCTGCAAACAGAGAGATTGAGACGTACTGGCTGAGCTAGAGATCAACTGAACCAACTTGTGTGCACCACAACAAGTGTAGAGTCACTTTGGTGAGTGTTTAAGTCCCAGAGAGAGGGGGGGCTGTCACAAGGTAAATCTGTAAACTATTTATGCCTCAAATAAATATTAATTTCACACGATGAAGCTACTTAAAGGATAAAGTATTGAAGTATGTGTGGTTCTCCTCTGCTAGAACTCCCAGTACATCAGTATCATACTCCACAAACCACAAATCTGCTTCGCAGTACAGGGCTCTAATCTCAAATTAGTTTTTTCCTGAGTTTAGATTTTAACTGGGTTATATCTCGGGTTTAGTTTTCGTAATTAACACGTTTTCTTTGAGTTTATTTCGATTTTTCACTGAAGTCAGAATTAAAACTTGAGCTTATCCTGGAATTGTTTATGTTTTAGTTTGTATTTAGGATTAATTCAGTCTGAACCCAAGTTAAGGAAGCTAAACTGAGTGTCCTGGTTCAGTTCCAGGACTCTCCTGAGTTAGAGTTCATTTTACTTAATCTTTGTGTTGGTCTGGAACTATTGTGGGTTAAAGAAGATGTTTCTGTCTCTCCTCAGACTCACTCCTCCTCCTTTCCCTTCTCCTCCGCAGTCTGAACCTCTCAGGTGAGGTTTGTGGCGTCGACAGCAGAGAAGATGCTCGGAGCTGTGATCTCTTCTCAGCTGTTCCTCATGTTCAGTCGGTTGACAGGAGAAAAGGTTTTTGCTCAGTTTATATTTGATGAAGACATTGATTGATAGATTGATACTTTATTGACCCCTTGAGAAATGTATTAAACATCATTTTTCACTGATCCTCTTTTATTTTTTACTAGTGTGAATATAATATATACCATCAACATAATTTATCAATACAAGTCAATATATCTAGTCCTAGTGAAAAACAGGACATTATTTGAAAGACTACACACACACACACACACACACACACACACACACACACACACACAGGATCATGTTAAACCATGACAGATTTAAATGCACACACAATTTTTGTGTACAGACAGATACTCTACATACAACCAATTCTGAGACAAACAAACACACACACACACACACACACACACACAGTGCAGGGTAATCTGCTCTGTATAATCTGGTGTAAACCCGTCGTCTCTGATCTGTTTCCTCTGCCGCTTGCTGTCACGTCATGATGATGAACATTCTTTTGTGGTTTTACTGTGATGACAACAAAATGTTCTCAGGAGTGATTGAAAACTGAGTCTACAATTGTAGCCACGCCCAGCTTTGATGTCACTGTGATGTCACAGGTGTATGTCAGTAAAAACAGTGAAGCTGAAATAAAGCAACAAATAAAAAAACATTTTTGGGATGTTTTTAAAGTTAAGGAGAAGATGAGGGGAAATTTAACAATAACCCTGCATTACCATTATTAGACCCCACCCCCTCTGACAACGGTAAATTGCTGCGTTGGAGATCAGCTGACCTCTTTGACTCGACAACGCCACAAGGAGAGCTCACCTCGGTTACCTCAGATCCTTTCTGAGTGTTGTTTGTGGGTTTTTGATTCAGCTGCGACCTCGCACACTGCAACCATTTTCTTAGCGGCTGTTAGACGAGCAAGCACTTTACGTTTTTGACATTTAGGGCTCTGAAGTGACCAAATGTCATTCAACAGCAGAACTGGTATGGTCGCAGGTACGTTTGGAAAAAATGTGTCGTTTAATGTCTCGTTTGGTCGCCTGTAGTTGGCGTCATCAGTCAGTGTCGTGCTGAACACATTTTTACAGCAGAGACGAAGCAGAGAGCAACGACAGGAGAGAAAAGAGAAACCTGATGAAGATGAGGAGACAGCAGCTTCATCAGTTTAAAACTGCTGCAGAAAAGAATCGGTTCAATAAATTGATTAAGAAGAAGGAAACAGAGGGAAGAGGAAATAGATGAATAAATAAAGAACAGACTGACAACAAACCAACATGAAGTCTGGTTTGATTTAAAAGGTTTTATGTAATATTTTATTACAATCTTTTTTTTTTAGATATGTGAATGATGATTATGAATGAAATGATTCGTTGTCTTCAGATCAGAGAGTTTTACATGAAAATATGTTGAGTGAAAAAATATTCTGCAGACAAAAGGAAACGATAACAACGATCGCCAGTAGCTTCAGAGGAGAAGACTTTTCTTTAAAGAATGAGAGAAATGAAGAGGAGGAAGAGACTGTTAAAGAGGATGGAGCTTGTTGAATGGTCTTTTTTTGCCATGGGGATAGAGACAGGAAGTGATGTGTAATATTTTCAGGTGCGATGGTTTTGTCACTGATGATGCAGTTTGATTATAAAGTTCTGATTGTCTGTCATGTGTCACATTAATCTCCCATGATCCTCCACTGCTTGACCTCATTAGACCACTCTCAGTTCAAATGCTGTCATCAACATGATGATGTCATCCAATAGACAGAGACCCCAGATCTGCCCACTGTGATCTGTGTTCTGAATTACAACGCAAAGAAGCTGCCATCAGCTGATCATCAAATATCTTAATGATGAGCGCTGGCTTCAGAGGCAGGAAGTGGTTCGTTATATAAAGAAAAACCGATGGTGGAGGAGAATCTGTCGGACAACTTTTTTATTACATTCAGCAGCAGGTGTTCAGGGTAAATCTGTATTCTCCTGATCAAGAAGACATGTGATGAATCAGTCATATGATCCATCACATTAAGGATCAGTGTATGTTGTGTGTGTCTCTGTGTGTAATTATTAATTCTTGTCTTGTTCTGTCGTCACAGCCGACGCCCACCTTGACCTTCTGACATCTCCACCCTCCCCTACTCACCCTCTGGTAAAATGTCCCAATTTGATTGGTCGTCACCATGGCGACCGCTGCCTCTTATGCCGCTGCTCATCCTCACTTCCTGTTTCCTGTCTGAGGCAGCTTCAACCACGAACTTCCCCAAAGACCTGGAGCCAATCAACGTGGTCATCTCGGAACGTGAGTATCCGTCTGATTGGATGATGATGATGATGATGGCACACCCACACGACTCCGGAGTTTTTGGACGATAAAACAGAGAAGTCTGTGAACGCTGCTGGTTCAGTTTAAGTTTGAAAACTCTAGCGCTGCGTTTTAGACAAACAGAAACTGAGACGTTTGTAAATATTGACTTAGACGCTCACAGCTGCTTGCTGATTGGTTCTTTTAAATCACAACGTAACCTTCACTAATTGGTCTCCGGTCACATGACCTCCTTCAAGAAGAGAACAACCGGCATCAGCCTCAGCTACCAGAACATAACATGGAGAAGCAAAGCGTTTCTAACCCTGTTGTGGGTTAGGAAACAAAGTATTAAAGTATGTGTGGTTCTCCTCCGCTAACACTCCCAGTACATCAGTATCAGTAAGTGTAGTACATGTAGACAGTCTGTGGTACTGTGAGTACTTTGCTCCTATGGGTCAGGTTGGTTCTGTTGAAGCTCCAGCAGCTGACAAAGGTTCATCCTCTGAGGAGAATCTAGATCTTTCAGAAACTCCTCAGAGGATCTCAGAGGATCTTGTGGGTCTCTGAAGACCCTGGTCCTCCTCAGAGACTGGAACGATCCACACCAGCTCCACGATAAGAACATGATGTCATGGTTCAAAGGAAGGGAGTGGTCAGTGGGCGGAGCTTTATACTGTTTGATCTCTTATCTCCAACTTAACCTGGAGCCGGTCAGCTGTTCAGCATAAGTTGCCATGGTGATTTACCCGATAACAAGGGAACGAGCTTCAGTGGTCACGTGATGTGTTTTCAGGCGTGTTAGTATGGATGATTATTAAACTGATACAGAGATCGTAGTCATATATATCCTCAGCTGTGTCATCAGATCATGTTGGGAATTCATGTCAGTAATATTCCATGTGGTCTTTGAATGATTGTGTCTTGCAGAGTCGTATCATTATCCAAGTTTTCAGGGTTTACTCCGGGACAACGACACACTGCGTCTGGGCCTCGACTTTCAGAGGATGCTACGCCTCAACCACATGTTGTACATTGCTGCCAGGTCAATACGCACGCACGCACGCGCACACACACACACACACACACACACTTCTGAACATGGAGCACTGACATTGTTCTTTTACGTCCTCAGAGATCACGTGTTCGCGGTGAATCTGACGACAGCGGTGGACCAGTTGATTCCTCAGCTGGTGAGTGATGTTGTACATGAGAAACTTTTTTTTTTTTTTTAATAAACATATTTCTATCACATAGGTTAAAGAAGCACAAGTCAAAAATCGCTTCATTATTATTATTTTTATTATTAACACCCTGACCTCTGACCTCTCAGTCTCCATGAGCCGTCCTGGTTAAATAATGTTTCTTCAAATAAAGTTTCATTAACCAGTTAAAGGCTGGAAGCGGTGAGTTAGTTATCAGAAGAAAAGACAGACTGAACATGTGTTTTTAAATCTAAACTTATTTATAACATTAGTACAAACAATTTAAGTTAAAACCATATAACTATAAACTAATAGATTAAAATAATAAAGAAATAAAAGTAATGATGGATCTAAATGATATTCTGACAGAAGTTTATTGACACTTTGACCTTTATTATTCAATAAGATGATGATGATGGCGTCTGGTCATATTCAATTCTTTCTCTTCATGTTTCAGAAGTTGACGTGGAAATCTAAAGACGTGAGCAAGTGTACAGTGCGAGGAAAGAACAGTGTGAGTTTAAGATGTTTGTTTTCCTGATAATGTTTTTGTCCTGAATGTGCAGCTGAAACATTAACATTCATTATAAAACAAAACTCAGAATCTAAATGTTCAGTTGATGAAATCAGCAGAAACATTTCACCTCTGATGCGACAAAATCCAACAGAAACTCACTGCTTCAGAAAAACTAAAATAAATATCACATCTGATCATAAACCGATCACTTCTGCTCTTGTGTGTTTGTTTCAGGACGAATGTTACAACTACGTTAAAGTTCTGGTGCCAAGAAATGACGAGACTTTTTTCACCTGTGGTACCAACGCTTTTCACCCAACCTGTCGAAATTACAAGGTACACACACACACACACACATTCATCCTGACTTGTTGGGATGAAAACAGACTGAGAGTTGGACACTTTAATTTGTGAGGATTGAAACTTTACTGTGACTCGCTGTCGGCTGGTTTGATTGACATCCTCTGACCCCGTTAGGCTGAAGCTTCGTGCTCTTTGAAATCTTTGGCGATGGAAAAACAAGACGAGGAGATAAGAAGCGTTCAGCTTCAGTTTTGATCTGAGAGGAAAAGAAGCTCTGTTTTACTGATGAAATTTGAACAGGAGGTTAAACTTTACTTTAACGTCTAAAACGTTTCAACTCTGTGGTGACACGGCTGACCTTTGACCTCATCATCTCTGTGCCATGTTGGTAACTGACTGTTCTCATCACATCCGCTCAGGGCCGTGGGTTTCCTGTGTCATTATTATTATTAACAAACTGTGATAGATAATAATTCATTATAATTGGGTTTGCAGTAGCGGCTGGTGACAAAATGTATTGGGGGGGCGCAGTGGTGGGGCACAATATATATCCTGTAGCCTTCACAGTAAAATGTAGCCTCATTATGTCTAAGTGACTGTGGCAACTTTCTTGCTGTCTGCATATTTCAGAGTGAAGTTTTAGGTCTTGCACCCACGTTGTTGTCCAATGTACCTCCGTGCAGACACTTTGAAACAGTAAAAGACATTAACACCACATCCAGTTATCATGTCTGTTTCTCAGAGCAGGAGAAGGTGTAAACTCGTCTTCATCACTTGCTGCTGAATCTGTAAATCAGGTCGGACAAGATCCTTTATCCTGTTTTGTCCCATTCATACTGATTTGGCCGATGCCCAGGAAATAAATGTATTTAGACAGGAATGAACCAAATACAGTTTGAAAACAACTTATATTGAATGTTCCCAGGTGCTGAAGGTCCACCAGCAGCATTTTAGCAGTAAATTATTATTATATAATTATGTTTAACTTTTTATACAGGCTTTTTGTCTCAGAATGTTGGAGGGGGCTGAGCCCCGTTGTAACCAGCCGCCACTGATTGATTGATAGACAATGATACTACTTCTCCTCATCTCTGTCAGATGACGACGTTAGACCAGGTGGGGGAGGAGGTGGTGGGACAGGCTCGCTGTCCCTTTGAGTCTCATCAGTCCAACGTGGGACTGTTTGCAGGTGAGCCCACCTGCAATGTTTGTTCTCATGTTGTTTTCTGTATCGATGTGTTCTTTAATCATGTGAATATTTTTTTAGAGTAAAGATGAAAACAATAAGCTGAACTATGAGTCCAGATAAGAAGTGGATCTGATCATTTCACTAATTCAGAATAAAAAGCTTGTCCCCTGCACTGACTTTAAACAATGCATGCTGGTTAAAAAATGTATCCGACTTCATTAATCGCTGCAAAATGTCACCAGGTCTGCTCTGATTGGCTGAAGGCTGACACTCAGATTTGTTTTCTGCTTTGTATATCAATACATTTAAGTTGTTAAGAGAGAAACCCTCCTTTTTGTTCCAAAAAAAAAAGATCATATACAGGAACATTATCTACCTCTTACCTTGTAATATATTTCATGTGTCTAATGTGGTGATTAAAAAAGATAAACCTTCTGTGTTTATTTCTCTCCAAAGACGTTGTTATGAATCTCAGACAGTTAGTCTGTGTATTTACACGCGGTCATTTTACACTGTAGGGACATTTTTAATTTTCAGCTGAAACAAACTGAAATTCAGTGTCTAAGCAGGAAGTTGATCATGTGACTGTTTCCTCAGGGGGGGACTTCTACTCGGCTACCATGACAGACTTCCTGGCGAGCGACGCCATCATCTACAGGAGCCTGGGAGGCGGCCGACCCGTCCTCAGGACAGTCAAGTACGACTCCAAGTGGCTCCGAGGTGTTTTATTATTATTAAGCCATGACACATGAGGTCACATGATGTATTTCACGTTAGAATAAAAAAAAAAAAACGCCCCCCTCACAGAGCCTCACTTCCTGCACGCCATCGACTATGGAAACTACGTCTACTTCTTCCTGAGTGAGATGGCGGTGGAGTACACGACTCTGGGAAAGGTGTGTTCATAATAACTCGTCGGACACATGAAACAAACATGATGATGTTCAGTTGTGACGTCAGTATGTTGTTGTCTCCATTACAACACCCGTTGATACCAAAACTCTACGATTTAACTCCTCCTCTTGTTGGTCAGGTGGTGTTTTCTCGTGTTGCTCGTGTTTGTAAGAATGATAATGGAGGATCTCCCCGAGTTCTGGAGAGATACTGGACGTCTTTCCTCAAGGTGACAATCAAACTCTGGTTTCCACGGCAGCAGGGACTGAATGACTCAGTTACACGTGTGTGCGTGTGTGTTCTCTCTCAGGCTCGTCTGAACTGTTCGGTTCCTGGAGATTCATTCTTCTACTTCGATGTTCTTCAGTCTCTCACCAATGTTCTGCAGATCAACCAGAGACCTGCTGTGGTTGGAGTCTTCACCACTCAGGCCAACAGGTGTGTGTGTCTGATTGTCAGCCAGCTTCAATCTGCTTCTGGCTGTTGTTATCTCTGCATCTCTCTCACGTTATTTAAAATCTTTCCTCAGAAAGATTCTCGTCTTATTGAATGATGATTTTCTTTTGTCAGTATCCCTGGATCTGCAGTTTGTGCATTTTACATGGACGACATCGAGAAAGTCTTTAATGGAAAATTCAAGGAGCAGAGGACCAGCGACTCATCCTGGACTCCGGTTCCTGACGAGCAGGTTCCCAGACCGAGGTGAACGCGTGTTGTCATCAGCAAACAACTAGAGATTGTTGACGAACACATAGATTCAAGGCTCAAGGGTTTATTGACATCTGCACAACAATTACATTAAACAGTTGCTGGCAATGAAATGCTTGAGTCCCAGGCTCCCCTCTAGACATGCTATGAATTTACGAAAATAAAAAATAAAAATAGAAATAGAATATATAAAATAAAATAAAAAAATGAAATAGAATAAATAAAATAAAAAATAAAAAAAGAATATAAAAAATTAATAATATATAACAGAAAAAATAAAAAGTAGTGCAAATATTATCCAATCACAGAGGGTGGTGTTGAGCCCAACACTGCTAGATGTTTAGAAAGAAGAAGAGCACATATGACATGATGTGATTTTGTGTTTCAGACCTGGTGTGTGTGCAGGAGATGGTTCAGCTGCAGAGTACAAGTCGTCCATTCAGTTTCCAGATGAGACGCTAACATTCATCAAGTCATATCCTCTGATGGACGATGCCGTTCCGTCCATCAACGACAGGCCCTGCTTCACCCGCACATCCAGCAGGTAACACGCAGGAAAACAGGCCGGTACCAAACTCGGCTTGACTTTTTTTTTTTTTTAAGTATATTTTTGGGCTTTTTTTATGCCTTTAATGGACTGGACAGTTGAAGAGAGACAGGAAGCAGGGGGCAGAGAGAGGGGGAATGACATGCGGTAAAGGGCCGTCCAATGCAGGATCCAAACCGGGGCCCACTGCAGCGAGGACTGTAGCCTCTATGTGTGGGGTGGCGGCACAACCCACTACGCTACCGACCACCCCCTAACTCAGCTCCAAACATATCACCCAGCAAAACTGCATCGATTTGTCAATCACACGACGAAAGATGAAACATTTTCCTGTTTTTGATCATCAGAACTGTTTTGAAGTGTTTTCTGTTCTGTTAAATCGTTAAATTAATCATTAAGTCATTTAACATTTGAACGTTTGTGACAGTTTGAAATGTTCCAAAGTTTTTATCTTTTTTTTTTTTCTGCCTCAGGTCCAAGTTGACTCAGATCATCGTAGACGTTTTGGCCGGTCCCTTTAAAGACCGCACGGTCATGTTCCTGGGCTCAGACGACGGTCGAGTCCTGAAGGTTTTGGCGAGCACGCATCCCAACGACAGCTTTGGTTCCAAGCTTCTGGAGGACATCGACGTTTACAACCCGTCCAAGTGAGACTTGTATCCCTTGTACTGATGTCTAAGTCAGCTGCAGAATTTAACATATTCAGATAAAATTATTCTCCTCCTTTCCTATGGTTGTCCAGGTGTAACGTTCAGGGTCAGGAGGACAGGAGGGTTCTGGGACTGGAGCTGGATAAAGACCATCATGCTTTGTTTGTCGCCTTCAGCAGCTGTGTGATCAGAACACCGCTCAGCCGCTGTCCTCAACATGGGCCGTGTAAAAAGTGAGGAAATGTTTTCAGGTCCAGTAAAACCACATCTGGATCAAACCCACCACTCTACTCCTGCCTCTAAAATATAGATGTTCAGACGAACTCACTGATTTTGTTTGTTCTGTAAAAAAAAAAAATGTTGAACTAAACATAAAAATGTGACGCTGATTTGGAAACTTAATCAATAATGAAGTGAGTGTCTGTAAAGTCAAATATGATGAAAAGAGTTTCATTTATAGACGTCATTAGACTGAACAGAGCTGAGCTTGCTGTGAACAACTGTGACTCCACAACAGACAAAGTTTCTCAAAGATGCTCTTGAGTGAAGATGTGAAAATGATTATAATATTAATAGTTCAGTCCGCGGGATTAAATGACACCTAATGGTGAAGGTACAAATTACAGCTACCTGAATTATATAAACACAACAGATGTTTGTAGATGAAAAACAAATGTTTGCGACTGTTTGTTTCTGCAGAGCCTGTCTGGCCTCTCGTGACCCATACTGCATCTGGCTGCGGACCGGGAGTTGTGCCAACATGGCGCCAGGTTTCAAGTACGTATCACCTCCTTTCCCCTCTCGCTCACGTTTTTCTTTCTTTCTTTACTTCTTTCACCCCCCCCCTCACTGACAGCTAATAAAGTTCTGACCGCTCTGATCGTAAATCTGCTGCAGCAAGCGAAAGGTCGTATATGTGGAAAATGTAAATCCACGATGCCTTTCACGCTGGCTGCCAAAGTAGAAAGATGGATATGAAGACATAAAGTCAACTCATTTTAAAATGCAGGAGTGATGTGCATGTGCCATTGTGGCATTCAGGAGTTTGTCTCAGTGAATCAAAGAAACAAAGGAGGAGAAATATAAATCTATAATCAATAATGAATTTTGTTGAGTTAGTGAAATCGTGGTACAGATGATTTCTTGAATGAATCTGACGAGTAGTGAAGGACAGGTCGATGCTGATGAAAGGGAGGAAAACGGAAACTGAAACTGTTGCAGCTGAAGAAAATAAATTCTCAGTTTGACAAGTTTAAAAAGTGAAGGATTCCCTGAGTTCACACTGATCACAGGGGAAGACATAGAGTCAAGCATATCGAAGCATATCTAATTTGCTGTTACATCTTCTGTACTGGTTATTTCAGCTGGAAGGTTTGTCTTCAACAGATGTCACAATCAAATCTCTCCTCCTCTTTACTCTTTTCTAACGTGAAATAATCCACAGTCCTGTTTATCTGAAGATATCTTAATTCAATTCCATTTGTATAGAGCCAAATTACGGCATACGTGACCACAAGTTATTTTATTGGACCTCAAGATGATATGATAACACATCAGTTCCAAACTGTATAAAGAATTTAAATCCATGTTGGCGTCTGACAAGTCTATCTGAGCCCTCAGCTGTGAAAAGTTTGTGTTTTGCAGAAACAATCGACCACATGCACAATTAAATGAGGAGACGTGTCAGTTTGTCTGTTGGTAAAGTCCTGCTGCAGAAATGAAATCCTGAACTCAGTCATCGTTCTTTTCCTCGTCGTCGACGGATCTGATGATCACTTTGTTTCCCTCTGAACCTGAACGTCTCACTTCAGCTGGTAAACTCATGGAAAACTCTAAATATAAGAAGACGAGCGATGAAGAGGATAGAGGAAGTGAAACTAAGAAGAAAAAGAGTACATTAAGATGATGCTCACATAGTGGATCGTCTACGCATAACTTCCTGCTGACATCACAACGCCATGTGACATCAAAAACATCAACTCTGTCTTCTGGAGAAAATACTTAAAGCTCCAGTGTGTGATTCAGGTGAAAGGATCTATTGGCAGAGATTTAATGCAGAATAATCCTCATGTTTTCACTAGTTTGTTTCATCTAAATTGTATGAATTGTAGTTTTCTTTACCCCAGAAAATACCTTTTATATTTAAATACTATATATTAAAATACTTTATATTTACATGGAGGGGACCCTCTCTACGGAGGCCGCCATGTTTTTTACATTAGTNAGTTTTTATGACGACTGAAGCTGCCACAGGTTCTTCTCTATGTTTGGAAGGAGAGGAGGAGGGGAGGGGTGTTCAGCTGCAACATGACACTTCAACACTAGATGCCACTAAATTCTACACACTGAACCTCTAAAGGTCGTTCCACACCAAGTCCTCAGAGGGTTATGTCCCAGTGGCTGATAGAGGATCAGAGAGTTTCGTCATTTGGTGTTCATCGGTGAAGATGACGTCATTTTCTGGTTCAAATCAAACTTTATTCGTTTGCATATTCACAGTTTGTCTCATGATGTGAAAAATCTGTATGAGATGCGACATGCTCTGTTTAGAACCTTCGACCAGAGAGAAGAAAATCAACCTAAAGACAAAGTTTTGAAGATCTAAAGTTTCAGAGTTGAAGTGAAGAAGTTTCCTTGGACTTATGACAGATTTAATGATTCACATCTGTCTCGATTCTTTATAACTGAAGTGACGACAGCACATTAAACCAAACTGTTTATTAAATCTTCATCGTATTTGGTGTTAAACCTCCTGTTTACACGCCGTCGTCTCATCTCACGCCTCCTTGTGCACATTCAGAACGTGAATATAAATCGTATTTTATAACCTGCTGCGTCTATTTCTGTATCCTCGTCTGAGTCGGTCCCACCATATGAACGAGGTGTTCAGGTGCTGAATTTACAGCCATTTGCCGTCGCAGTGGCCTCCTTCTGTTCGTCTCAGTTTGTCCTGACTCACAGCTCGGCCCACGCTGCCAACGGAGAGAGAACAAGTGATAAGGCGAGATAAATATTGAGCGAGTGAGTGAGTGGGCGGAGGATGTAAAAGATGAGGTGGAGAAGAGTTTACTGACAAGAGGAAATCATCTAATATGAGACAAATTGTGATTTGTGAACATGGGCTAGATGAATAGAATTTGATTGATAAAATACATTTTTAAATGTAGAAAATAATTAAATGACTTAGCATAGTTTCTGCCTTGTCTCAAGGCGGTCATGGCGAGACCGCTGGTTCTCGCCATGACATCAGCTCAGTCGCATTTAAAATTCCACACCATCTGGTGGAGAAGACAAGTAGACTGTCCCTTTTGTCAAGGATCCACTCGCTGTATTCCACTGACGCTGGCCGATCACCTCCCTTCTACCCGCCATGGTCTCTGCTCCCCCACCTGAGGATGGCAAGCTGGAGGGAGGAGAGGCGTGCTCCCCCAGCCACGGATGTCCATCCCAACATCACCAGATGATCCAGGGGTTTGAATCAGGCCCAAGACTCTGTTCAGTAATTTTTTTTGTCTGACTTTCCTTTCCGCCACCTGTGGTTGGCCTTTCAGACATGTTGATGTAAAAGCTGCATAGAGACGAGAAGTAAAATTCCCTTCAAAGGGTTTTTAAATACATGAATCTATAATAACTTTCAATGAAGTCTCATTCATGTCGGACTTGTTTCTGACTCGTCTGTGAATAGTCTGAAGGTTGGAGGGAAACATCAGTAGAGATGTTAAACAAACTCTTATGCTTCATTTACTGGAGCCGCACTGAGCTGAACGCCACTTCACTTCCTGCTGCGGCGATGCAGTGGGAGAGAGTACGTGCATCGTGGCTGCCATTTGTCACTAAGTGTCTCCTGATTGGTCAGGTTTCATCCTCCTCTAATTAGTCCTCTGTCTCCTCGGTTGACCTCTGATTGTCTGCACACTGAATAATTAGCTGGAGATGACAGATGTGACACAATGTAATTAGCATTGTCTTGACTCATTGTCTGGTCACCGTGGATACATATCATCAATTTAATCCCAGACAGTGGTAACCCCTGGCAACCGAACTGAGAGCCTGTGTCTGGTTCTTCGCTCCATGTTTTATTCTCATGTTTCCTCAGGGCGGGGTTTGAGCAGGATATCGAGGGCGACCACTCGTTCCTCACTGATGGCTGCCAGGGTGAGAGAACTACACATTTGATACAGACACGTATGATGTAAAATACACGTATGAAACAGACAGTTAACTACACGTACGATACAGACAGTTAACTAGATGTATGATACAGACAGTTAACTTAATGTACGATACAGACAGTAAACTACACGTTTGATACAGACAGTTAAGTATATGTACGATACAGACAGT